GAGGTACACATCGTAACAACATTAAGGACCAACCCTCAAATTAGTTTAGGATAATAAAAATTGTATTCATCACAAACGTTGTTGTTTGTTTCCTCACTTTACATTGAAACTATTTAACACCTTTTTGATTTGAAAAAAAAGCAATAAGGACATTCAACAAGGAACATGTTAGTGTTGTTAGTGTTGTTATTGATGTTTGTGTTGTGCTCTCTACTGTCCTCAGCTCGTGTTTTTGTTGTTAATTCACTTTTGCAACGCAATGGTGTGTGCTAAAATGTTTAAGTATTGGTATTGCACACATATACCTCAACAAGGATATTGTAGTGCATGTTTCGCTTCCTTAAAGGGATTTCCATTTTATTGATTTGGTTACTTTTATAAGTAATTTGCTTGTTATTTGTGTGATACATCATAGTGCAATATATTGTTGGTGAGAGGACATTAAAATTTATTGCACTTTTTGTTTCACATTAATTAATTTAGTGTAAAATGTTTGGAAAAAATTTTTTGCACATATGTTTAATGGTTGATCATTTTGTAGTTATTGTAAGACCAACGGGTATATATTTGTGATACCATAAAAAAATTATTGCTTAATCTTAAATAAATTTATGTGAGCACATACATTTTGAATAAAAAAAGTTCTAAACTGATATTCACTGAATATATAGCGGTTCACTATTTTTGCAGAGGTATAAATTAATTTCAAACTTAATTCATCTAGCGAATATATATTTGTGATATCATATATCATTAAATAAGAAAAGTATTGCTTAATCTTAAATAATTTTATGTAAGTACATACATTTTGTACAAAAATAGTACTAAACTGTGTGTATAAAAATCGAAAAAAAAATTCAACTAATAATGATTTTATTTCAGTATAATTTTTAGTGGAAAAACAAAAAAACAAAAAAGTTTCAATATTTTAAATCAGTAATTTTTAGTATAATCATAAGTTAAATTAATATTTCCCGAATTTTATTTAAACCAATGGTTTTGCTAACATGTTTAATATAGATATTGAACAAGATCTTTAATATAAATTATTGATAATTAAATCATAAATTAAAAACACCACACTCTGTATATAAAATTATCATTAAACAATAGACTCACATTTATGGTCTAAGTCAGCTCCATTTTTAACGAGATTTACTTAAAGTGAATACTCCTACTAAATTGATTAGCATTAATTCATAATAATTAATTCATAATAATTCTACAATCTGCATATTAAAGAATTCAATGCTGACATAAGCTTATTTAAATGTTGTGAAAGACGCAAAATAGTAGTTGACAGACAAGCGTAGACCCGTTGGTAAGCACTTTTCCAGCTCCACTATCTACAAGTCTTATAATACCAAATGTATAGATGACTGCCTAGCCGAAGATACTTTACCATCTTTAATCTGATATTATTCATCCAGCTCAATTTACAATCCAGCTCCACAATTTCTGGCCCCTTTATGGCAAGGGTTTCTACTGCAACCCTGTTCTAAAATCGTGGTCACAACAACCTCTTGCAAAAAGTTTAATCTTAGTGAGTAGTGGCTTAGTGACAAAATGCTCTACAATTTCTGGCCCCTTTATGGCAAGGGTTTCTACTGCAACCCTGCTCTAAAATCGTGGTTACAACAACCTCTTGCAAAGTGTTTAATCTTAGTGAGTAAGTACTAAGTAACAAGAACATCCTTTCTTTCTTCAATCACTTATTTACATTGGTTTGGATATATTTGTTAACATCCACATAAGAAGGTAGAAAAACATTAAAGATGAATACAAGATCAATTTTACAAGAACGGCACAAGAAATTACAGTATTGCTATTTTTCGTACAAAAATGACCGAAAAATTAAAAAAAAATTAATATCAGAACAATTTAATATGAAAGAATTATGGATTTATAAAAACTAAGACCTAAATAAAACTATTATGAAATATTTTTTCTGAACTCAATACAGATCTAGACTCTTAAAAAATCTAACTACAACAACGGGTTTGATTTTTGTCTTGGAGCTTAAAATTCCAAACCATATACAACACATTCCTGAATGCAACATTAAATATATTATGCTATTTTTTAAGCCTGGAAGCAAAGCCCATACAGATATCATTATAATAATAATTTAGTTTACATCGATAATATTCACTGAATATATAGCGTTTCACTATTTTTGCAGAGGAATAAATTAATTTCAAACTTAATTCATTCAGGGTTGAATAGCCTCTTTAATATCCATATATATGTTGAAATGTTTTCATCCCATTTGTGAATGGGATTTGAAACAATAGTTAACTACGATGTTTGGAAATAGTCTGAACCTATTTCGGTTAAACCATATGCCTATTATAATATCGCTAATGACCCTTATATCAATATAAAGGTTACAAAGTCTTTTTATATTGAAGCTATTTGAGCCAGTGCAGTTGAGCACTTTTACTCTTTCTTAACTCGAGGTATTTTCAAAACCCCTCTTTACGCTTTAACTGGATTATTATTTATCACTTTATCAGACTAAACAATAATTAACCTTAGATCAGCATACCTCCCCGAGGTGCCCGTAACCATTCTGAGATTTAATAACACGGTGTTGGTAAGTCTGTCAGTTTTCACAAATAATTTCAGGGCTGTATCCTCTATGTATTTTTTGATTGGATCAATCTTGAGGTCCCTAAGGATGTCATTCGTCCTAATATACCAAGGAACTTTGAAAAGTCTTCTTAGAGCCTGACTTTGTGCAATTTCTAGCTGGCGAATAGTAGTGTTTTAAGCTTTGCTAAACGCTACACAACCATATAGAAGTGACGGACGAATTATTTGGTTATATATCAGTTTCCTGTTCTTAGCATTGAGATTTTTATTTCTAAATAGCGGTTGAAGGTAATGAAGAATTTTGGCACAGTCAATTCTTTTCAGTTGAACATGTTAAAGCCATCTGAATAGTTTGTCCAACATGATGTCAAGATATTTAACACTATCCTCCCACTCTCAATCTCGATAGATTCTGTCTCCATTTACTCGTAATAAACAGGATTTCTGGAGCATCCAACTATTCTCAGATAAACTTCGAGTGAATTTAAAATGCTATTAAAGATTTAAGAGCTATTTGACTGTTTGAAAAAATATACCATATATGTTGATGCCAAATATAACCTTATGTAGGCATTTTCAGGTATTCAGCACTAAAGCTTGAGTTCCTATTTAAATAATTAAAACGAATACAGTTATTGAAAATATTATTGCTATCAATATTAATTTCTAAAAAAAAAAAGTTGGAGAATCACTTTTCGAAAAACTAAATGATAGGCTTTAGTCAAAATAATAGACGAAAATGTAAAAATGTTGATGCGTTTGACTTCCTTGACAGCGCTGTCATTAGTAAGGATCTTATAGATAAAGATATAATCTTTGCAGATTTATTGAAACATTGTTCAACAGACAATCAGATCAAATGCTCAAGATTGTGGAACATTATGTACAAAGAACGATTGGTTGATTTTTAGCTGATATCAGAATTATTATACAATAAATTGGATATAATTTTTTATTATTACTGAGCCTAGGTCGTTCATTTCATACATAGATTTATAAAAAATATTTTGTTTTAATAATAAATTATACTTGTTAATATACTTGTGTTAAATATTTTTTTATATTTTAATTTTTTAAAAAAATATTAATTTATTAAATAACAATTTTTTATTGAAAAAATTTTAGTTTTGTTTTATTTTAAATTAATTTATTTATTTCTCATGTATTATTTACTTCCTAAAAAATGGAATACATATCCCTATATATGTACATATATACATTTATATATACATACGTACGTATTGCAGCTCAAACTTTGCAATTTAATTAGTGATCTATTCTTAATTGAACTTAACATTTTGTTATTATTTATTAGATATTCAATTATTGAGGATGTGAAATGTATACCAATTTTGTTAATTGAAACATAATCCTCATTTTACACTACAATTATTGTGTCTTGCATAATTATATATGATTTGTTATCTACTTAACTATATTTAACAATATGAACAATGTCAATTATTGAAAGCATCAAATAGTGATAATATTAATTAATCTACTCAAATGATGCTAATCCAATAATAAACGACGCTGGCACAATCCTAGTAATTTACCTGCCCCTAAGCAACGCACCGACAACAACACCACGAAACGCCCACTTTCAATTAATGTTGAGACCACAAATTTGATGAAACCCATGCCAATGCAGTCAAAATCTGTAAGGTAAACAAAAATGAACGTTCCGGCTAGTGAATTGCATACTTTACTGTCACTACACAAACACACAAACAAATAAACACACGTATAAACTTAAAATCCTATAAGGATAATGCAGTACAGTCCAAAAATGCAATACAGCATTTGTCCATACTTAAATGAACACAAAAATGGACGAAGTTCGCATACCATAAGGGTATGCGAAATTTAAAGGTCAGTGTGCGCACAAACGGACAGACATGCTATTATATAGGCAAGCAGAAGTAGATTTAATATTCATAGTGCGTTCTGGGAAATGTTTAATATTAACAAGCTCAAAACCATAATTTTAGTTAAATTACACAATTTTTATGAACAGTAAAAAGCAACGTAGAATGTATGTTCTGCGAAATAATTTATATCAGATTATGAGGGTAAATTTCATACTTCCTTCTGAAGTGGTCTCAGAGTTTCCTTGGTTGCAGTTAAAGCAATTGAGCACACGAGTCAGAGTTGTAATATTAATAATACAAATAAATATATTAATATATAAATGTGTTATTGAGAAAAAGTATTATTAAATATTTGTTTTCCAAGAAATTATTAAGAAAAGTTCTACGCTGACTTACAAAAAACTGAATTAGAAAATATATCATAATTGAGTGGAATAAAATTAATTTTAATAAAATTTAAATATATAAAAATAAACGATTTGAACAAAAAAATAAATTAGCATTATAAATATAAAGACTTATATAAGTTAAAAAATGAGTGGTCTCGGCCCGGCTGCCTGTTGGCTCGCACATAAACGTATCGAATCATGGTCACGTATGGCCAAAGAACGTGTCGGTGCTGTACGTCGGGTTACACTCGATCGTAATTCGGAAGAAAGTGCCACCACATCTACAACGCCACCACCGCCAATGACACCGCCTCCTTCTGCTTCGTCAGTTACATCCACTACTAGTGGGATTGGTAGTGGCGCGGGCAGTGTTAGTGACAGTTGTGATTTGCCCACGGACTCGGAGGTTAATTTTCAATATTAAATCTTTTATCTTACATTTATATTACAAATATATGATACATTATTTGAGTATAATTAAATAATAACACATTATTATTTGTATTTTCATCAAAACTTGTTTTATTAGGAGGTTAATGTTACTAAAGAGTCACAACCAATACAACCGCCATCTACACTGGGTTCAACGCATACGGTCAATGCTGAAGTACTACACAGTCCCTTGCATTTACACCATCAGAGTCGTTCATTTCCACCACGTTTGCAGCGCACACCTTCGATATCTAGCCAAAGCAGTATTGACAGTGCACCTTCAAGGCATTCGGTAAGTAAAATTAATTATCAAAAAATAACATATAATATAGTCATCCAGTATAGAAGAAATAGTTAACAGTATATAAAGCTAATGGCATATAAGAACGATTAATATCACTTGTAATGGGGCCTGTCTAGATAGGAAATAAAAAAGTTTGAACCCTAACATTTTTTTTATTATTTTCTAGATTTTTATTCAGTATCCCTAGTTTTTTGTATGTTTGGATCGCGATCGATCGTTTCAACTCTCTGAAGAGATCCTGAAGAGATTTGACTTAGTTAAATAAGTCAAAATAGCGACTTATCTCAAAATATTTTGTTTAGAGGTTTTACATTTTCTTCAATTATTGTGCAGATCTTATTGATTTCATTAGTTTTCTTGGTTTTTTTAATATCTTTACGATTTTGCTCATATTATATTGTTCATATTATATTGAAAATATTTATTTACGTTTATAAACGAAAATGTGCAGTAGTATAATTAAATTAAATATAAATAGGGCCACCGAGGATCTTCACCACAAATACGCACATTTGGGCCGGACGGACGTAGTTCTTTACCTAATGAACCAGGTTTTCCACATCATGTGAGTAGTATATAGCATTACTTTAATATTAATATAAATAACATTGCAATATTATATTGATAGTTGGCTCGCTCTCCAAGCCCAATGCGTACTATTTCTTTAGATGCACGTTGCGGTAGTCCAGCTTCAACTGATGTTAGCGATTTACGTACTCCAAGTCCTTCACAAAATAGTCTTGCATCATTGGCAGGCAGTTCAGCATCGAATATGAATGTTAATTCAACAAAAGTAGGACGTTGCCTTTCTCCATTGCTCATACCACCACGGCCACAACCAGGTATAGATCCAACAATTGGTCCAGCTTCACCACTTGGTGCACTACAACCTGATTTGTATCGTGTGCAAGATGGTCCGATTTACTTAACAGCACCAGATTCAAGTCCAGCTCTGGGTCGTCTACATCTTAGAGTGAAATATGATTACCATTTATTTGATTTGACAGTACATTTGATTGAAGGTGAGTTCAAATATTTGATAGTTTATTTATAGTTTATGTCAATCATATTGCATATTTTAAATTATGTTTTCAGCTCATAATCTATGCCCTATCGAGGAAGGCGGATTTCGTGATCCGTATGTACGCCTTATGTTACAGCCAGAAGTTGATAATCGCAAACGTCAAACACATATACACCATGGTGAATCAAATCCATATTTTGATCAACATTTCAAATTTCCAGTCTCACGTGATCAATTGCAAGGCAAAGAACTTATTTTACAGGTTTTGGATTATGACCGATACTCACACAACGATATCATAGGCGAAGTACGCATTTTAGTAGACGAGCTGGATTTGTCTAAATCGGTTGAGGTGAAATATATGAAATTTTACATATAATATTAGATCACTTTTTTATGCACACATTTTTTCATAGATTTGGGGTGATTTGTTACGTATAAAGAAACCACAAGAGGACCGTCCTGAACTGTTGTGCTCGCTTAATTATTTGCCACAAGCCGAACGATTAACTGTTGTTATTATGAAAGCCAAAAACTTGGACACTGTACAGGAACCCTACGTAAAGGTCAGTTAGCTTATTATAAGAGCTCCTAAATATTTTTCTATATTAAACTTGAAAATAATTTTAGATTTATTTGATACAAAATGGTAAACGTGTCAAGAAGAAGAAGACTAGCATTAGCAAATCAGATGATCCAACCAATCCTATATGGAATGAGGCGTTTACATTTAATTTGCAATCAAACTATTTGCATAATGCAGCCATTGAAGTGAGTATAGCAGAAAATTAAATAATGAGTTTATTTTAAGGAATGAATATTTTTCATTCCTATAATTTTTCTTATGAATTTTATTGAAGGTTATGCTACGCATATAAATTTTATATATCCTTTATTTAATGCAGTATCCTTCAAATTTTTCGCATTAAACACTTTGGCATGTTGGCTGGTATAATTTGCTTCACATTTTATGTGAGAGATGATAAAGTTGCGTAATTTTTTCTTACTAGTATACAACTTTAGTTTACTCCTGTTTCATAATAAATTGTATCCTTGTGTTTACTACCTTTCACCTTCAAAGGAGCTTAAGATTTTCAATGCTACTAGTTGTAGTAGCAACCTTTACTCACTAATATCAAATGAAATTTATAGCTAAAATGGTAATTGAAAATAATTCGATTATTTATTCTGCAACATATTTTCATATTTTATGAAATTTTTCACACCAGCAACACTCTTCGACACGAGTTTACAGACAATATTTCATACAAAGCAATTGAGCTTCCTGCTTGGTACCTTGCCAACATGCACACCTCCACACCTGACACACATCAAATAACTGCATTAACGCAATTCATCACAGCAGTTTCGAGCACAATTGAAGCTCCATCGAGCGTTATTGGCACTATTGATAGACTGATGTGTCTATGCCATTGAGGAAGGTTGAAGTTCAATTGTGTCTGTTAGCACGGCAGTCATTAGTTACAACATGCATACCATACATTCTGATACCTACACGTTGCGGCGAGGATAATGCACACTCTCAGTAAATTCGTGGTTCATTTCATGAGCCTTGCGCAATTTATAATGTGTGAGGCAAACACTGGAACGATTTGTTTCTTATGCAAATTCATATTCAGAATTCCGAAAATATTATGCAAATTTAGCGGAACAATTAATTTAAATTGAAAGCAATCGCACACAATGCAAAACTGTAAACGTAAAATTTGATTGTGATAGCTTTGATATATGTACGTGTACGCTATAACATCATCTGAAGACTTACTTATAACAGTGATTACAGAACTCATTTTCCACATATTGAACGTAATAATACTTAAGTTTACACACATTATATAATATTACATAATATAGTATCCATAGACATTTACTGTTCCAGAGAATGCTCACTCAAATCGTTACTGAAGGCGAGCGTTATATGACATATTGTTGGAATGTCAGTAAGTCTTACCAATATCTGAAAAATTATTTGTAAATTTAAATCTACCAAAATGCTCAACCAACTTTACAACTGCTAGCACTTTAATTAAGAACTAACATTAACCTGTGCGCGTCAGCTGTATAAACACAATTGTCCTCAATTTTTTCCAAATTTATTAGTATTATTGTTAAGGGATGTGGCACTGGGACCGTCGGGTCTATTGTACTCCTTCTGGATTTAGGGTTTAGAGTAAGTCTTCAAGCCCTGTTGTGTCAATAAAAAGTAGCATAGAATCTACTTAACAGGGTCTTATTGCCTCTTCTGTATACTCCCAGGAGTCTATTTCGCTTATGTATTAGCGCGGGGCATTCTAACAGCATATTTGTGTCTAACGCCTCATTCTCTTCGCAGAATCTACAGTTTGATCCGTATATACACCCAGTTTCGTAAGATGATATTTGAGTTTATCGTACCCTGTTAGGATTCCTGTTTTTTTTCAGATTTAACAATCTCCAAAAAAATATTTAAAAACAATTCTATAAACTTTTAACGGAACTGGCATATAATTCATATATATCTATTTATCAGACTAATATGAAAGTTATTAAATCAATTATACTTTATTTCTCGTAGAACAATTTCCTAATCAAACACGACTTGACTCGATACCCACTATTAGTTGTAGTATTTAGTTAAAATATTTTTAATAAATTTTATTTGTTGCCACCAAAAATATGTACAATTTACAAACGTTCATTACATTGTTCATCGATTTTTTTTTCACTTACTTTACTTTTTTTCACAGCAGTTTTGGCTTGAGTACGATTTATTAATTTATTAAGATTTATTCATTAAACTAAATATCGATTACAGTTTTATTCGCAAAATAGCTGGCAATATAGTTGTTGGCTTTTTACATTAATTACACAAACCACATTTGAAGAGTCTTCGCAGTGGTAATTGGTATATATAATTCTTTTGTTGATGACACAAATGACAATTGTGACAGCGAGTGAAATGTCTTATAGTAGTTGTTTGTGTTTTTTACAATATTTAAAGCATAATAACTCAACTATATCTACATATAGCATAGTAGAAAAAGTCGCTAAGAATGTCGATTGATATTGAAATTCGTCCCAAATTTGGGGCACATAGTAAATCATCGGTAGACATCACATTCCGTTAAATCTTTTTCCCCGGACTGCAGTTGTTTCAAACAGCTGTTCACGTTTATGCATTGTGGTGCACTGTTCTTTTGACATAATTATGACAGCGATGCCAATAGATTTCAGTTCGTTGAATCATGTTAATGTCGAAATAAAACCGGTAAGCTTGCAGTCCATTCAGAAGCGCTAATGTTCTATAAGTCGTAGACGATCAAACGTCTTACGGAGAACTTTCTGGTCGATCATTCTCAGTACTACTCCAGCATTCTAAGATAGGAGATGGAATAGGAGGAAACGAGGTACTAGCTCCCAACGAAGCGGAGCACTGCTACCATAATTGATCATTCATGCTGCAACAAAACCTAACCGAATCGAAAACATTTCGCCTTCCAAATGTTGGCCGTTGAGGACCTATTAATATCAGAAGGGGTAGTTCTCCACTGACCTCCTGCTGGCCCAGATCAAGGCTGGGCGGTCACAGAGAATGTGATAGTAACCAAACTTGTGTAAGGCTTTTTACATTCCAATTGCTGATTGACATCTTAGTAGCATATTTTGGAAAGGATAATTCCTCAACTGATCAGCACGCTGATACCGTTGTTTTAGTTTAATGGCACCAAAATGGGTAAAACCCTTGACGTTTGAGGTTTGAAAGCATAGTTGTTCTCAACTACCTCACCATCTTACCGATCCATATTACTGCATATACTTCTTCTTTCTTATTATCCAGCTTATTGTAAAGGACGTTGTAGACTTTAATACGTGCTTAAAATAATCTTAATGAAAGCTAACGTAACTCAACTTAATGTGAGCACTCTTAACAATCGAAAATAATGAGAAAATGTATAATAATTTCTCATAAAACTTAATTTTCACAACGTTTCATATTTGCTTTAACTCTGTAATCCTTTTAGCGTTTTTATTTTGTATTATTTCACTTCAACTGTGTGTAAAAACACCTTTCCCATTTCTGAAAATATTTAAACTTTACATATAAGTTTAAACAAATAAAAGAAGCAGTGTAAATATATGATTAACAAGAACTTTTTCACATTTTCAACTTCAAAAAAGTTACCACATTTCGGTTTGTGGTCGGTGGTTCAATTAAATAAAATATTTTCGAGCGAAAAGTTTAAATTATTTAACGATGCAATAATTGGCTGCAGCCGCTTGCCATGTTTATCCAGACAAAGTTTTTACACGCGTTAATTTGTTACAAATGCAAATATGCAGGTATGCAGGTGCATCCATGCATGTGGATAAATTCAACTTTAATTAATCCACGTGGGAGTGAAAATTACTATTCTGGAATAATTTCTCCGAAATTTTCCTCGTTGACAGTACCATTTCATTGTTGATAATATTATAAAATCAACAACTTATAAACTAATTTAACAATATTAATTTCTTTAAATAAACTTTGACCAAAAAAATGATTTACTGGCGGATATAAAATGAATATATTTTTGAGAATTTGTGATATTATTTTTATTATTATTAAACTAAATTAATATAACACAGTTCTTTATGATAACGCAAGAGATTGACTCAAAGTTAAGTCAAGAAAGCATAAAAATTACTTTAGATTATTTAATATATTATTATAAAAAGTATTTTCTAACAAAGTGGCATAAATCTTGAAAAGAATTCCTTGGTCCCAGAAACAAAAAAAAATCAGATAAAAGATTCATTTGCAATATTTACCGAAATACAGCATTTTAAATACAAGTCCACCCGAAAAACCTTTAGCCGAAAAATCTCAAAACAATATATTGAGTTTATTGTTATATGTTATTAGACAATATTGTCCATCAAGTATATTTTTAATTTATGGGTCATACACTACGCTAAAGTAAATTTAAATCATATTATGTAGTACATTTAATATTCTTTGATTTAGTGCTATATGTCCTTGTTATTATATAGGGTTGAAGTTATAATAACTCATAAGTGATTTGTATGGAAAATGTTCAATACTTTGTTTTGCTTTAAGTCAGAAATTTTCATAATTCAAAATTGATTGTTTTGAAATATGTTTGTTTATTTCTGCAGAAAATCTAATTTTTCTTAATATTTGTATAAATTTATTTTTGTTTCCTTTTTATATATCTTTATCGTACAATTTTTTAAACATAATTATCATAATACTTTTATCAAGCACCGTTTTCTCGCATGCTTCTGAACCCAGCTGATTTCTACTACTGTTATTGGAAATAATAATCGAACTTTGACAGTTTACTGATTTATTAAACCCACATAGTATGCATAAATAGTTTGCATTAATAATTGCAAATATAAATAACCTATTAGCAAGGTGGAAATGCTCTTAGGGTGGACCATATGCACAACTGTCGACTGATTTTCAAACAATGTTTAGAGAAATTGTAATATAATAATGAATCCATTATCCTATACATGTAAGATGATAATTAAACTTGAACCTCAAAGAAAACGATTACTTCTTTCACCTAAGGAAACGATCAATAGAGTTACTACGCCGCCTTATTAAAGAGTACCAACCATATTTTAAACGAAAAACGTCAATATCTGATGAAGCGGAAAGGCCCCTTTCATCAAAATAAAGCAATTCAGTACCCGTATTTAATCAACATTCAGAAATTCAACGAAAATTTTTTTTGCTACTATATAGAAAGAAAAGAGATTTGTAACACAAAAACATATTTTGAAGATGAAGATAAATCATTTTGTTTGAACAGTTTTAAAAAATAACAAAATTATTGAATTAAACGTTTCTTATTATAAATAATCTATGTTAAAAAATAATAGTGAACTTATCAAAAAAAAATATCTTTGCGAACAAGTTATTAGCTTATCCTCGTCGAATTCTTCGTTTTTTTCAATATACAGTACTTATATAAATAAAGCCAATGTAGCAACTTCAGCTCCTTAATTTAAGTTCTACACTAAAAAAAAGAATTTGGTTGATTTAATTAGATTTTAACTAAATCTTAGGTCAAAATATTCTTACTCGACGCATCATGTTGGTTCAATCATACTACAAGGCGGTTTTCATATCCTCTTTTTTTCTCATGAGATTAAATTTCTATAACAAAATGATCAGGTCAATTTAACTAGTATGTAATTGGAGCATATTTTACTGAGTTTGGCTGAGTCAACAACACATTTAACGCTCTACAAGTCCTTTTCTTCTTCTTTCTGTCTTTCATAACTCCATCAGATTATACACATAGTTATGTTGATCCTATATTATTATAATATTATTAAAAATATATAGGATCATTAAATATATTATTAATTAAATTATTTATTATTATTATTATTTATTATTATTATTCATTATATATTATTATTTATTATTATCATCATCATTATTATAGTTTACAAACTATATTTCGAAGGCAGCTAATTCCAATATTAAAATCATATAACTTAAAAAGAAACAAGTCCTTGGAATAGCAGATTTAAACTCCTTCACTAAAGGAATTATTCGATCTTCTAGCGTTTTTACTAAACAAACCGTAATTAATGAAAATCCTTATTTTATGACTTAATTCACTGGAGAAGATCTCAATGAGACTCTTAATATCTAATATATTTCTCTCTTTCTCCGTAATTTCTTAATCTATTAGGTTGTTCGGAAAGTAATTTCATTTTTTTTCTGGTGAAACCCTTTTTCCATTCTTTCTGGTAGTAGCATAATTCCACGCTTATAAAATTTTTGGTCTTTGCTGGAAAAAAAGTGATCGAGGTGGTTTTGGACATCGTCATTTGAAGGAAGGTTTTACCGAACGTGGTGCATCTGTGACATTAAAATTGCCGGATCGAAATTTAGCGAACCAGTTCTGGCACTGATGTACCGTCAACACACCTTCTCCATACACATCGGTCAATTTCTTTCTGGCATGAACAGCATTTTTACCCTTTCTGTAGTAAAACAGTAAGATATACCCAAAATGATGCTTATCGCTCTACATATTTAAAAGGGCACCAACCAAAAACTACTGCGTAGAATTAATTGAAGTTTTTCACACACAAGCCGTGCTATATGAGCTCTCAAAGCATATAAAAATTAAACGGCTTTAGTGTGAAGTTGGGTGCAAAAAAATACAATTACATCGTCTGTCGGAAAAAACGAAATTACGTTCCGAACAACCTAATATTTATATTTAGGATAACTAAACTAGTTTCACAAATAAATACCACTTCTCACTTCCAAAAAAAAATGCAATACTCGTATTACATTATGGTATATGGTTTTTTTTTAATTTTAGCAAACATAATTACTCCAAATTTACTCCAATTACTCCAAAAAAAAAAAATTAATATTTATTATTATATTCTTACAGATATATGTAGTTGGCACTGGTGGCGAAGCTACTGAAATTGGTAGTTGCGGTTTGGGTCCCCAAGAGCATGGCACTGGTTGCCAGCATTGGCACGATATGATAAATAATGCACGTAAGCCAACCGCTATGTGGCATTTTATACGTTAAATATTCCTTACAAAATTTATAAAATAAATCACTAACATAATATTTGCTGTTATTGATATACATATTATATATACAGAATACATATAATATATACAAATATTTTATAATATATATAATTAAATATTTATATGGTGTACATAGGTATAACTTAACTTAACATTTCTATATATATATAAATATATAATGGTATTAAAATTAAAGTGCTAGTGATGTAGTAATTGAGGCAAGATCTACTACAGAATCATGTGTACCTAACATACATTGAGAAAACTTTACTAATTACTTTATTAAAATAGTTCCTCACAGTTGATGGCACATTACTTGCTCTTAATAACAAATACCATTACTCTAATGCAATGCAGATGAATTGTAATTAAACATAATTTGTGTGTACTTAAGTAAATGCTAAACTGTGTAAAATTTGTTCAAAACTTAAGGAAAAATCAAAAACGAAAATCAAACAATCTTAACATAGTTTCATAAGCTTCCTACTTACAAATTCCTATAAAATGCACTGTAAAAAAATGTTAAAAATATATTACATTACAGTGGAATATAAATTTTAAAGTTAAAACTATGGCAACTGTAAACAAAAATACTAAAAAGAAAAATTATCACAACAGTTAAATTATATTAATAAAAATACCTAAATACAAAAAATAATTTAAGTATATCTTATAGAGTATAAATAATCAAATATGTAATACTATATATGTATTTGATTTATATATAGTAAATATAAAATAATATAATGCATTAAATATAAAAAATATTTTCAGTTTTCAAATCATATAAATAATTGTGCTGAATGTCTTAACATATAGATAGTGTAAAAAATTTTACAACTTTTATTTAATTATATTATATACACTATATGTAAACCATAAACATTAATATATAAATATTTAAAAATGACAGTAAGACCTTGTCGTCCAGCTCTATTGGTTAATGTAAAACTTGTAGTGTAAATATATATTACTTTACATGAAATATTTCCTTTAACTATGAATTACACTAATTGCAAAAAAAATTTTAAGCATAGTTTTTATTAATTTTTTTAATACTATTCATTGTTAACGGAATAAATTACCTTAATTATTTTTTCTGCATGTATAGTAAATATATTAATATTTTATTATCTAAAGTGTCCATATGTTAAATTTATTATAATTAAAAATTATAAAATTTTTTACTTATTGACAAGTAGCTATTTAAATAAACAAAATACAAGTTCCATTTAAATACAATATAACTTAATTTATTATTATTTGTTGTACTATAAAAAAAAATTACTTATTGAAATTTCCGTAAAAGGTGACTTTTAAACTGGTTTTGTTGCTTCCACTAAAATTATTTAAAATGTGACTTAATTATATTAGTTATTGTTTATAGCAATATTTTGTTTTTACTTTTTACAACAACAACTAAGAAAAATTGTTTTTACTGTAAAAGGTCATAAATGATAGAATTCTATAATAAAAATATATTTACAATGTCTATATTTTTAGGAACAATATGAAGTATAAGGCACTTATCATAGAAAATATACAACACATATATGGTATTATATATTTATATATTTAAAATATGCTATTTTTTATTAATTAATTATTTTATTAATTTTGATAAAATTATTGCAACTAGGTTTCCGAGAATTTTCCAGAACGATTACTTTAATATATTATAATTACTGCTAATTTATCAGCAAGTCTAAGTCATATAAATTTATTGTAATTAACTAATCAGTTTCAACAATTTTCACATAGTTTGTAAAGTGTATAATTAAATAAATTATAAATAGCAGTTAATTAAAAAGTAAGCAGAATAAATTAATCATATTTTAATAACTATTTAATAATAAATAATAAAATTGTTAAAACTTGTCTGTGTAAGTATGGTTTTATGTACTATTAAAGTACTTTTATAATTAATAACTAATTACAGATATTGATTAAACAACTAAGCCAAAGCCTATATGATATATAAACATCACAAAGCAGTTATTTGTCACTCTGAAAAATATTTTATTTTCTAATAAATTATACAATAATATATAATATTTATAAATAACAATATTTTTTATTTTCCAAAATTTTCACAATTTATTAATTTCCTAATCAGTATTATTATAATATTTTTTATTTTATATTATTTTGCATATCAAATTATATTTTCCATATTAGGTATTGATACTTTTTTTTTGTTTAATTTAATCTAAAATAACTAAGATATCGTACCCGAAAAATTTTTCGTTCCTGTACAGCCCCAGAAAAAATGACTTATTTCAAAAATCCTGACTTATTTTGATTTTTGACTTAGTCCCAAATAATTAGTGTTTATGTATTTATATTATTAATAATTGTCATGATTGATTTTTATATAGTATGGTCAACGTATTTTCTAGGTTTATAAATAAAAACTGTTCTTGAATCATTCAGTAAAGTTTATAACTACTGCTAAAGCACGAAGCATAAACTGATATACTTTTTTCAATTCGGTTCTAGTTTTTACTTGCCAAAAATATCGTTTTACATGATATTAAGTTCACGGTTCGTTTTCGGTTTAAAGCCCTAAAAGCAACGACTTCAATTTCTAAATAAAAATTTAAAAAGTTTAAAAAGACGAAATGCTTGAAAGTGGCTAACATACAACCAAGAGATTTTAATAATATATGGAATGAGTTGTTGAAATCTGGTAAAAATGAGAAGTTTTTATGTATGATTTTGTTTTAGTAAAGGCTTGGGGTTTGTTTCTGATTGCATACAAGGTATTATAATAAATTTCGATTAAATATTTGGTTTTGCGGAAAATTAAGTAATAATTATTCAGCCCCGACACAATTCTGATAAATTCAGTATTTTATTCAATTGTGATATAGTAACACCATCGAACCATACTCTCTCAAAAACGAAAAAAAATGCAAGTCTCATCGTTAGAGACGCCCTATATGGAGCCTTTTTACGTGTTTTCTAGTTCTGAATATGCATAAATATAGCCCGTAAGGTGTTTAGTTTTATGGGGATCAATTAAGATCAATTATTAATTTATTTAAGCTATATATTGATAACGGTATATTCTTCTGACACTAACCTGTTGCTGGATATAAAGATCATGTGATCTGATGCCACAGGAAAACTTTTTTAAGGCGATATTTATTATTGTCAATTTCAAAAATAAATATATAATATAATTAATAATAAGTTGATTGAATATTGTTCAATAATTCAATCATTTTCAGCCTTTGAAATTGAGCGCACTATTTATGAGATATGCCCACAAATTATCGAAAATATAGTACAAAATAGTGCCCCCCAGTTGTAGTTAAGACATTTCCGGATGCAAATGCTTGTGAGAGTGATACCATTTACATATTGCCATAAAATTTTGGAAGGATTATTTTGCGGCTCGAGAGAATAAGTGATTTTTTTGAGTTGAAAGTAAAAATATAAAATGTATATAAATTTGTGCATTTAGTAGAATTAATAATATATACAAAAAACTTACAAATGCAAGTAAAACCCAACTATTAACTATTTGTATAAATACAAGACTACTATTAAAGATAACTCATAATTGCATACATCCCCCGGATTTTCAGATATCTACATTTATTACTTCTATCAACGGAAGTACTCATATAAAAGCACTTATATTGTTTTCATTTAATAACTTTCAAATATTTGTTTCATATTTTAAACATTAAATAAGTCCTATGTTTTATAAAAGAAATAGGAAATTAATTTAGATATTCGTAATACAGCAAAAGATTACATATTTAGAAATACTTCAAATTACAAACCGCAGTAAATGATTTTTAAATAATTTTTTCCTCAAGTAAAAATTTTAATTTCTATACAATTTGCAGGATATCACTTTTTTTGTCATAAGCATTTTAACTAAAAATGCCGTGATATGACATTTGAATTAGCATTTTTTGCTTGTGTCAACTTGAGTGCAATTGTGTTAAATTGTTCTTTTGTGTAATTCGAAAGACTGAAATTTTACAGAAATTTCATAATTTATGCATAATTTCAATGGTTTCACATCAATCATCTCACAAGAGCAAGAATTGTTCGACGCAGTAAGGACACCCTTTCATCGGTTTCGTTATGTGACATTTGACAAATTGACTGTCGTTCCTTTTACCTTTTTAAGTTGGCAAACTTTTAAAATTAAGAAAATCTATAAACATTTTGTACCTTTTAAGAATGTTTTAAAGAACTGAAGGACACACTTGATGAGAGGTACTTGACAGAATTTATGATTTCTTTTCAATTTTTTTTTAATAAGTTAAAAAAAAAAAAAAATATATGCGAATATATAAACTGTGGTTCTGTTATAAATAAATATCTTTAATATTAATCAAGTAATGTTTTATATTTTTGTTGAGAAATTTCTTTTTTTTATATAATAAAAAATTAACAAAAAGTAATAACATTTCAAGAAAAATTTTAAATTTGTTAAAAAATTTTTATTATTTCCAAAAAATGTTCTACTTTTTCTATTTTATAATTAAATGGTAAAAATTTAATTAAAATACTTTTCTTTATTGTTTCTATTTTTATTCTATTAATTCAATTTATTGTTTCTATTAATTGTTCATCTTTATAATCATATTATTATTATCTTAATTTATACTTTGTATGTACACTGCCCTAAAAACCCTTATTTCCACTTAATTTACTTCTGTCTTAGAGTATTGAGAAATCAAACGACTTTCGTGAGACGAAAGCATGTTTACACTTTAGCTTTGTAGATTTAGTATATAAAACACGCCTAAATACAACATGCCTATAAGTTAATTGCGAGAGTGTAAACTTGGTATGTCAAAAAGTAAAATACTTAGATATCTAAATGAATTGTAGAGAATAGTTATTTTTGCGAATTTTTTTTAATTTGAAATACAAAGAAAAGTCGTACAGAACACAATATTTGCAGTATTACATTAATATTTTCTTTCGCTATAACTATTATTTTATTTTCAGAACTGACCTTTCGTTATACGAAAAATCCGCAAAGACAC